GTCCATGGTTTTGAACTTGAAGAAGAGTGGAGAGGGTGCTGAATTGGAAGCCTTTATGTGACCTGGGCAGGTCTAAACTCTGTCTGGGTCTGTTTCCCCATCTGTGACATCCTGAGTTGATGCCCTCGGAGGGGTGAGAGGTTCCAGGACAGCCCTGCGGTGGCTGCCCTGCCCAGTGTTCTGTGCTGCAGACCCTCGGGCTGTCCCAGGGTCACTGTACCTTCGCCTTTGCCACAGAGCACCTCTTCCTTCCTGCCTTTGTGTGGAGGACTTCCTCCCGCCAGCCCCTGGAGCAAACACACAGCTGGGAACAACTGGAAAATCCGGATTGGCCTGGCCTCGTTTTCCCCCACCCCTGGCTCCTTCCCTTGTCTGGGACCACAGAAGCAACCAGGAGACTGCCCTGGAGAAAACCTCTAGACCAAGGGGCCCAAGCATCTCCTGGGCACTGGTACATGTGGCAGGCTAGGCTTTCCTCTCCCCTTGCAGCCCTGACAGGTGACCTCAGCTGCGTAGGCTCGGAGCAGGCGTCCAGTGTGCGCGCGCGCGCGCGTGTGTGTGTTGGGGGTCTGCCCCCAGCCGCATCTGAAGCTCGGAGCAGGCGCCCCTGTGTTGATCTCTCAGGCTCCAGGCTGTGCCTGCGTGTCGTTCTCTCAGGCTCGGGGCCACACCCAGCCCCTCCTCCTGAGCTTGTTGTGACCATTATGGAGTCTCGACCTCGTTTGCATATTACTGCTATATACACACACACACACACACATACACACACACATATAGATGGGCAAATGATAGGTGTCTGGCTTGGGGGGGGCGGTGTACAGGCAGCGTGGGAGCCCTGAGTGGCGCTGTGGGTGCTGGCCGGGGGTGATTATGCGGTTCTGTCTGTTTCTACATGGTCGGAAACCGTTGTGTTAACTAGTCTGTTGCTATTGTCTCAGTGAGCTGATAAGTAGAAAGAGGGTGTCAGCCCTTTAGTGATGCCCACAGAGGTGAGCATTTCAAGGGCCAAGGGGATGAGTGCTCTGAAGTGGTGCAAAGGGCCCAGCCAGGTGACTGCACGCAGCACTCTGGGGAAAAACCCCACCCACATGTTCATACGCGGCTCTCATAGAGACCATGGGCTCCTTGGGGAATGCAGCGTAATGAGGTCACCATGTGAGAAAGATGCCGTGGGGTCAGACTCCTGCAGAGTCAGGACCAGGAGCTTGTCAAATTCAGCAGTCTGTCTTGAAGCCCCAGACACCCTTCTGTCCAGACCTGAACTACTCAGTCACACAGAGGAATAGGGCCGCTGAGAGGAGAGAGTACCAAACACGTCATCAGAAAGAGCAGAGAGGTGTGCAGAGCGCATGCACGAGCCAGCAGGGTCAGCGTGTGGCTGCCGAGGCCTGGAGTGAGCATGCCTCGTGAGGGGCGAGCACACCCAGCGCCTGGTCTGGGTGTCTAAACACCAGCCTCCAATCAAGGACAGCAGTGGACAATGGAGAAGCCGGGTCAAGGGCGTGGCTGAGGTAACAGCAACACTGCTGTGAATTCCTCCGCTGGGTCGCTGCACCAAGGTGACTGTGTGAGCTGGTGATGTTACAGGAAGTAGGTGAAGGGTATACAGGGCTCACTGCTGTTTTGCAACTTCTATAAAGTCACTGAGGACTCTCACCATCAGAAAAAGGCCTGTGGCTTCTGGACGCCAGTCACTCCTGTCACAAACCAAGCACTGAAGCTCTGCCTGCGCCCTCATGGATGGCCTTCTGGGTCTCACCCTCTGTGTGTGTCCAGGAGCCCCACTAACATCCCCATTTCACATCGATTACCAAGAGCACATCACAGAACACTGAGGGAAACATTCCGAGTTTAACCTACATAGTTATTTCCTCCTGTCCACCAGTAACCTCACTTCCTCACCTCCTCCCCTTACATCTTTGTGCCTTTCCGGTTTCATCATCTTTACTCCATGCTGTTTACAAATCTGCAGAGTCACCCTAGGGCCTAGCCGGTTTGGCTCAGTGAACAGAGCATCGGCCCATGGACTAAAGGTACCTTGGTTGCAGGCTCCATTCTGGCCCTGGAGGCAACCGATCAATATGTCTCTCTCACATCAATGTTTCTTTCTCTCTGTTTCTCCCCCCCCCCCCTTTTCACTCCCTCTAAAAATCCTTGAGTGAGGATTAACAAAACAAAACAAAACAAAATGTGGGAGTGAGCCCTTCTGTGGGTTCACAGTGCCTAACGCTGAGCTCGGATGGGCCGCCCACTCACCAGGCCGATGCACTTCTTCAGGATCCCCCACACACTGAAGTCACTCCTGGTGAACATCGGGGCCGGCAAGGATGTCCTGAAAAGCAGTAACCACAGCAATACATGTTATTATTAGTCCAACATGAGGTTCCCTTATGACTGGTGATGTTGCTTAATGACCATTTTTCTCTAATTTTCCTGGCGTGCCTTGGAGAAAAAGATCAGCCTGCGGGCTCTGTCCCAAAGGAATGGGCTTGTGGGAGGGACCCTAGGAGAAAATGACCATGACCACACCAATGACTCTCCTTCCAGAGCTGGGGACAGGTCGCCTTGTCCCCGGAGCAGCAGTGTACCAGCTGCCTGCAGCACTGCAGAACCACGGACAGAGGCCAGGCCACAAGGTCCCCAAAAGGGAACTACATGAAGAAAACCTTTTCAGCCCAGCCAGTGTGGCTCCGTGACTGAGCGTCAGGGCATGTGCCCAGGTTGAGGGCTAGATTCCCAGTAGGGGCGTGCAGGAGGCAGCTGACCGATGATTCTCTCTCATCATTGACGTTTCTATCTCTCTCTCCCTCTCCCTTCCTCTCTCTAAAATTAATAAAAAATAACACATATTTTTTTAAAAGTTTTAATAAAATAGTTTAAAAGAAAGAAAACCTTTTCAGAAATGCATTGTTTGCCCCTTTCAATTTGTGTGTGTTCCTGAGGCACATTCCTGCCCCAGGGACCTCCCTGCAGACCTATGGCAGCCCCACAAGCATGTCTGCACCATGAGACCCTGTTCACAGGAGACTGGGATGGGGAACCCCTGACCCAAGTGGGGCCTGGTCTCCCTTCTGGAAATTTGGCTGGGATGAGACCCTGATTCCATCTGGGAGGGAGGGGTGCCCAGTGGGACGGGGGTGCGGGTTTGCAGGAAGCGAGAGGGACCCAAGACTGAAGACTGAGCCAGTGGTTCCCTGCGTCCCAGAAGCCCCCGGTGCTCTCCTGGACGGGTCAGTGCTCTTAGGACAGGAAGACCGTGAGCCAGTGCTTCTGCTCTAGCACTCTGCTTGGAACGATGACAGCAGTGCTCTCACCCCATAAGGACCCCAAGCTCCCCCTTGGGTTGTCAGTTAGGGCAGCTGAGTCAGGGCACAATGCTTATTTTCAGTAAAGGGAAGGAGAAGAGAGAGGCAACTGGAGACGAAATGAGAAAAACTGCCATTTACAGAGCGCCACATGCCAGGCTGCCAGCAACTAACACCTGGTCACTTGGCAACTGTCATCTGGGCTGGACTGCGAGGGGGCTGAGAAGGGAGCATGGAGACAGGAGAGGAGAGGAGACAGCAGAGATGGAGGAGGCGGAGAGGGGCAGGCAGGCAGAGCCCGATGTGGGGGCCCTGGAGGACCCAAGAGAGCCACTGTGGCTGGGCCCAGAGACAACAGGGAGTGGGCCAGGGAGGAGGAGAGGATGCTGGCCCTCAGCCTAGAGGAGGTGACCTTAGAGTTCACAGTCCACACCGAGGTACTTGTGAGAGGAAAAGGGTGCTATTAGCGATTCCCAAGGGGGGGGGTGCACCATGTGAACACCTACCTGAGATGTTTTTCTTTCTTCCTCACCCGACGATATTTTTTTAAATATATTTTATTGATTTCAGAGAGGAAGGGAGAGGGAGAGAGACAGAAACATCAATGATGAGAGCCACTGATT